AGATTTCCTAGGAAATCGCTCATCAGGTTAGCCGCAACACGCAAGTTGTGCAGATGGACTGGCCAAACCATTGCAGAGAGATCAGCGAGGCAGGGTGGGGGAAGTTATGCAGAAGTCTGGCTAGACAGACACAAAAAAAGAAAAAAACATAAGTCCACACCCTCCGTCTGGTGAGCCTGATGACTGAACAACAGTGGAAACGCGTTTAGTCGCCAAAAAGAGAGCTGCTCTCCTCCTTACAAGGAGCTGTGTGCGTTCATCCCTGTCTTTGTGGTCCTCTTAAGCGCCTGCATCTCCAGCGACAGGAATGAAAGGCTGGTTGAAATTCGTCACTGAAATGAAATGCCAGTTTCCTGCCGTGGCTCATTCTTTGCCTCTTCCTTTCTCGCTGAATAGATAAGGAGGTGGTTTGCTCCAGAAGACTTTGTTTGCTTTATGCGGCGTTTCAAGCAGAGCGCCCGGGGCTGTAAGGTTAAGGCTGTGGGACAGGGCGTATTGTTCTCCGCAGTCAAGTTCTGATTTGTGCAAGAAGGAAAAAAGTCATTTCTCATGCTGTTTTTCCCTCTCATACATAGAGCTGGTTAGAAGAATTTTTTTTTTTCCAAAAGTTTTGGTGAGACATGGAAAATGTGTTCTGTTTTATCTGTTTGCAATCATCTCCTTTCATCTTTTTTTAGTTCTAACAGCAGCTGTTTTGGAATAAATCTGATTAGCCTGCTCCTAATTACCTATTTTGGCTTCTGGCATTTTAAAATGTTTTATGGTATGTATGTACTGCATCCACGATGTGTTATTTTCTTAAATCTATCATCAATTTTTTTTTTTCTTCTGCCCTTCCCGTCAGTTAAACAGAGATAACTGAATCTGGATGTAAATTCTATGGGTGGAGAGGGAAGGAAAAGAGGAGGTGGAGGGGGAAGGAGCAGCAGATTGTTTTGCAAAAAGCCTCTGGGCTGGAGCCATGCTTTTGTTTGAAAACATATAGCCAGTGACTGCTAGTGTTAACAATAACATAATGCTATTAATCTATGAGAAGGCCGAAGTTATAGGTCATGTAGCTATTAATTAAAAGCTCCTCTGGCTCCTAAGTGCCCTTTGTAACACGGTTGGTTCATGCTGTCTTGGTCCACGCGGTTTGTGGGATGAGGGAAACCAGCCCATAGAGGCTAAGCTGGTAATTCTTGTATGCGCTTCTGTCTCCCCAGAAAATTGTCATTAATCCGCCAGCTAGTCCCCTGAGAAACAAGAATTGAGGTCAGGTGAGCATTTGCTGCCCTGCTAGAGCCAAGCCTGGGAGCAGGCTGGGTGGGAATGAGAGCGCAACCTGCCTTGGGGAGGGCCAGGCTCCATGCGTGGGGTCTGGGTCATGCCCCACGGAGGGAAGCTTTTCAAGGAGACTCTTCCCTGCTAGGCTAGGAGTGGTGGAAACCCTGCCCACAAAAGAGAGGTGAAACTATTTTTATAGCCGCTTGCGCTTGTGCTCCCTGGATTATTCAGATACTGTCACGATGAATGCGGTAACGCTTGCAAGTTACTCGGCTACTACGGTGTTGCAAGCTATATGAGGTAATACAGAAATATTTCATTCATTTCCAGGGACCAGCTCACTGGCCCTTTTCCAGCAGCACTGTAAACTTGTAAAACTGATGGATCAGTTTCCCAAGGGTCTTTATTACCGAGACTTCTGACTTCTCAGCAACTGGAACAGCCTTGTAAACTATTCAGACCACGCAAGATGCTTAAAATAAGCTTACAATTAGTGTTCCCTAGGGTTTTGTGCTGGCCTTCTTTTCCCAAAGACTCTTTTCTGTCATATTTAGTACAGGAGTATTGGATGTGACTCTCCTGGGGCTTATCTCTGTCAACAGGAAAAGGGCACTTCTGAATGAAATTAAGGGCTGTGTCTCCCTTCCTCAAAGGCAAAAAACACTGCAATGAGTGTAAGTCACGTCTCGGGTTGATTTGACAAACCCCAACCTTTGGGATGACTTGGATCTGGTTCCAATGTGGCTTAGCGTAAATATGTGTACAACTGTGTTTCAAACATAATTCTGCACCTAAATTAAACTCTGCGAAACACTGTTAATTTGACTTTTGTCATATAAAATCTGAAGCGGCACGTGCCTCGTGTCTCTCTCAGCTGTTCTGCTTTGCTGTCCCCATCCCTCTCTGTCATTCAGGCAACTGGTTCCAGAGTGAGAGAGTCTTCTCTTTGCTGATGTGCGGAGCACAGAGTAGGTACATCACCATTACACAGGGGATACAAGATTAATTTCTTTTTTTTTTTTTTTTTAAAAAAAAAGGGTTGCCTTTAGAATTATTCTGGTTTTGAAAGATGAAACAATATTTAGATGTATATATAATATGGATATAACAGAACACTATACTGGTAACTTTTTAACCAAAAAGGAAAAAAAAAATATTGCCTGTGCATGCTTCTGGATGATAAAAGCTGTCCCCTTCCCCTTCAGTTTCAGGCAAATAAAAATAAAATGGGAGCAGAAGAACCACTTTGTTCCTCGGCCCTGCCCCCGGGTATATAAATAGCAGGCGTCCCTGCGGCCGGGTGGCTGCTGGAGTGCCTCTCATTCCAGAGATCCTTGGCCACCCTCTTATCAAAACAGAAAGGCTGACTTTGCCCCCGCTCTCCGTTGATTGATTTCATGTTGGAAACAGGTAACACGACAGCCTCCATTGTCCTTGAATTAGCCACCTCCTTCCAGAGGTCAAACAAACAGGCTGAAGGTCCAGAAACTCACTTCAGCTAATTGCTGCCAAAATTCCTTCTCTGCGAAACGAGCAGGGGCTGGAGCGGTCCCCCGGGTGACAAATGTTCTCCAGAGGGATGCACAGAAACCATCCCAGGAGGGCTAACAAGGGGTATCGAGCTACAGCGCCGGGGAAGAGGCGAAATGTGAGACAAAGCCCAGTGCCAATTTTAAACTTAGGAGCTGGAGCCGCAGAAAGTTTCTGCTTGGTTTTAATAGGCTTTGAAGTCTCAGTCAAGGTGATGGTGGAGCGATAGCGCGAGGACAAGGCTGATTGATTCATCCCGGGACTCAGGAGGCTCAGTTTTACACTGGGCACTGGCATGGCCCTTTATTTGCTGAAAGTTTTCCACCAGCATCAAAATTTCCTACTGGCTTTCAGCTTTTGTATTTTCAGAAATAATGTGAGTTGAGAGATGATGGGCAGTGGCTAAAACTTTTCACTCTTCCCCCTCCCATTGTCACCTTTTTTTTTTTTTTTTTCTTCCCACCAGCTTTCTAGCTGTTGCTGTAATTAGGCTCTAACGTATGTTTCTATCACGTAGCACAGACACCGCAGCTACCGCTGTGCAGCCTGGGTCACGCATTTGACATGTACGCCGTGCCAAGGATGACTGATGGCACCCTCCTGTCACGGTCATATTTTCTTTAACATGAAAGCTTAGAGAATGAGGGGATTGCATCGCTCTGCTTTGGAGTGTCGTCCTCGTATGAAGAGAAGGAAAGTGCAGGCCTGTGCCTGCCTAATACATGGCAGGCACTTCATGCTCCTCCAAAGTACTGTCAGCTCCTGTTTATCCCTGAATTGATTAATCCGACTCCATGTCCCACCTGCAGCTGCACAGATGCTGTGGACAGCACAAGGCAGCCCATAAAGCCAGTTGCATTAGGTCCTGCTTCACTTGTAGTTGTTTATATGTTGTCTATCCTCTGCAGGAACTGGCTAATGTTTTTCCATAGGTGGGTATAGTCAATAAGCTCTTAGAGAATAACCCAGATATCTACAATTTTGATTTATCCATGTTAGGCCTCCACCTTGCTGATAGGAAGCGTGGATGAGAGATACTTGCCTCACAATAACAGCTTTTTCTTTCATTTCCTCTTGCCTTCACCTGTGTGAGAAAATTTTTTAACCTTGCTTTAACAAACCTAAACCAAGCCTAAAATGCTGTTTTCCCCACTTTTTTTTTTTGTTCCCTGTCCTGTTTTGAAACAAACTGCTGTTGACGCTGCCAAATTCTCTGCTTCTGCTGCCTTGCCAACATTGGCATGATAATGTTTTGTATCTAAGACATCATGAAACTTCTCTGTATTTTAATACTGGCTCCCTCAGTTTCCTTCTTCACTCCGACCTCTGAGTGGCCTTTGACTCCTGCTGGGTCTGGTCTGAACATCGCTGCAGACAGTGCTTGCAGCACTTCTGTGCTTTTCTCCCAGCATGGCTTCTTGGGCTCACCGAGGGCAGCTTGTGTCGGACCAACCTCACAGCTTTCTTCATCACTGTGATGAAAGGAATGCATCAGATCCCATTCGTCTGGGCTTTAGGACAGCATCTGTTGTCCTGCTCCAATCTTTACACTGCTGAAGGCCATCGTTTCTATGCAAGGTGAGCAGGAAGACTGCGGCAGGTAGTACTGCAACAAAAAGTACCAGGCAGAAAGGTAGTCAACGGGGTTTATATACGTACATATATATATATAATTATATAAATGTATAGTTATAAAATTAAAAGGCCTTGGAATCATTCCTTTTTGCTTAATGCTTTCATTGGTAAACTAGGCACAAAGACTACAAGTTTGCTGATGACAATTGTGGATGACAAAAAGTTGGGAGGCACTGTCAGGAGGGAGGAAGATCTGAAAAAATGTTATGGAAAGAACAAAAATGCAATGAAGTTAAATTCAGAAGCATAGGTGACAAAAACACACCTATGGAGGTTACTTATCAGTAAGCTGAACATGGAAGAAAAGTAGAATAAAAATGAACCAACTGGGCAACTCTCTGGTACCTCAGGAGCACCAGTAAGGTTTTCTTTGGAGAAGAAGATGTCATCCTGGGACGTGTCAAACAAGATGTTTCCAGTGGAAACACTAAATCCGTTACAGAAGACGACATCGCTAAGGTGTCCTCGAGATGCTATATATGATTTTGATGCCCCATGTCCAAGGAAAATACAAATCTGAACAGGTGTAAGGAAAGCCTACTGAGATCACCAGGAGTGCCACAATCTTTCCTTACAAATGCAGGCAAGGAAAGCTCAACTTGTTCAGCCCAGGAAAATGAAGGTTGACAGGGGATATGGTTTCCGTCTAAAAATACCCAGGAGTGAAACAGCAGGGAGGGAGAAGAAGTATTTAAACTCGTCTGTGGCTAAACTTAGTCTGGAAATAAGATGCAGGTTGCTGGCCATTCAAACAAACAGAGGCGAGGACAGCCTTCCGATGGGAACAGCTGGAACCAGAAAAGTGCACGTGCTTTTAAGATGTAAATTTGATTGGGAAGAAACGCTATAGCACCTCGGGAGGGAAAGGCTCAGGCTCGGGGACGCTTCATGTCTGTGTGGCTCCTGGATCCAGCCAGGGAGTGCGCAGAGAGGTGACACTTTCCAACTGCCAGCTGGAGATGTAGGATGCTCTTGGGTGCCTACCATCCCTTCCGTCCCGCCTGCTCTTCTTGATTTTTGTGTGGTCTTCCAGTCAAAAATATTGGCACAGTGCAGGTTTCATCCTTCTGCTGGGGGCACAGAGATCTATATGGCAGCCAGCGTTGCAAAGCCAACAAGGAATCAGTGTTTTCACAAACAGCAAGGTGGATATAAATCATCGTAACATAATTCACACATAAATATCATAGAATCATAGAATGTTTTGGGTTGGAAGGGACCCCTAGAGGTCATCTAGTCCAACCCCCCTGCAGGAGCAGGGACACCGCTAACCAGATCAGGTTGCTCAGAGCCCCGTCCAACCTGGCCTTGAATGCTTCCAGGGATGGGGCCTCCACTACCTCTCTGGGCAACCCGTTCCAGTGTTTCACCACCCTCATTGTAAAGAACTTCTTCCTTATATCCAGTCTAAACCTACCCTGGTTTAGTTTAAAACCATTACCTCTTGTCTTGTCACTGCTGGCCCTACTAAAAAGATTTTCCCCATCTTTCCTATAGGCCCCCTTTAGGTATTCAAAGGCTGCAATCAGGTCTCCCCGCAGCCTTCTCTTCTCCAGGCTGAACAAGCCCAACTCCCTCAGCCTGTCCTCATAGGAGAGG